CAGCAGCATGCCACACTTTGTTTGTTTTTTTCGGGGATTCAGTCTTCTCAAGGGAATGATATTGCGGCTGCTCCGAACACATGAGATGTCCATGCTTCTTTGAAGACCTGACTTCAAACAATCTTGTGCTGTCCCGGCATTCAAAGATCAAGTAACAAGTACCAAAACTACATTCAGCATGATCGTGACATTGGAAAGGGGATCTGGCTTTGAGCAAGTATGTGACACGACAAGATAAGAATAACGTATACATCATATACATATCCAATGAGTTAGTTGAGCACTGAGCACGCTTGAAAGAAGTAAGAAAATGGCACAGAGCAGCGACGACCATGCCCTTGACCAGACAACCGTGCTCAAAAGCAAAAGACCTTGTGGCCGACTGATTGGGTGTTCGTGACTTTCTGATTGCTGAAGTGATTGGGAGCTGGGAGGTCCCAATCTTTGGAGTTGTCGTCTCTTCTGAGGACTACTGAGTTACGCCAACAGTTGCAGGCGGCAATGGAGCCCCGTAACTTGCTGTGAATCTGAACAAGTAATGAGACATCCTAGAACTGAGAGATGAGAGATGCAATGTTTGGGATGCTGCAATTCCTGCCACACGGCTGTGGGTCAAGATCCTGCCCAATGAACACCCAGAAAACGTACCAGACGGTCGACAGCGGATGTTCACCAATGTTCACCACTACGATGGCTGGACCAGGCCGTCGTTGAGGATGGCCAGAAGCTGGAGAATTTGCGGCAGGACAGCTGGAGAATTGCTGGGTACTGGATCCATCCCGAGTTGACTGGTGCAAAACTGCTTGGATACGATACTCGAGGTCAGTATCAAGTATCCAGTTATCAAGTATACATGGATACCAGTTAACTGTTAACTCATCTTAAATCAAGTGTGGATCAAGATTGAAGTTTCTCGAGGTGCGACTCTTGTGCCTGTAAATCTGCGCGAGGCGCGACTCTTGTGCCTGGAGGCAGAGGCCCAGGATTTGCCAGGGCCTAAGAATGCTGACTTTCTGAACAATGTGGACAATGCAGCCATGCAAGATGATGTAGCTCATCTAACCTTCGAATCATAATGCAAACAGAGACTGGGAGGTTTTAACTGACTGACAATCACTTTGGCAGGCAAGCAAAGTGGCATCATCCAATGCCACCTGACGAGGACCAGAACGGACACCATGCGCTTCGAACTACATAAGATGTGTCGTGCGGCTGAGTGAGGCTGAGACTGTGTAAGTCAAGACTCTGCCTTGGCTTATTCGGAAGGGCACATGAAGGTCGGTGAGTTTTGAATAGCTTTGACATCCAAGCAAACAAAGTCCGTGAGACATGTCATATCTCCCCTCATCGTTGGCGAGAATACAATTGGTAGACTCCTCCCCCCCCAGGTGAGGAGTCCAACCCGAGGGCTTCCTAATAAGGCACTTGCTCCTAGTAGCGATGCACTTGTTTCTAATAGCTTCTTCTTTCAAACAGCGAGGAGTCCGCCTCGAGTGAAGAGAAGGAACGGACGGAGGTCGTGTCGCACCCGGAAGAGGTCGCTGTCCAGGAGGTCCAGGGCGATTGAGCGCGGGCGCACGGCGACACGGCGGAAGGGTCGAGTCTGCGCACGGGCAGAAGATGGGTTGGATGGTGTAGATGGGAGGTGATTCCGTGTGGCTTTTCTTTGCCTTGAAAAAGGCTGCCTGGCTTTGGTTTGACATATGCTGCAGGTCCATGCATGTCGGGTGGAATTGCTTGAGGGTTGAGATACTTGTCAAACCACCTTTATAATTAGGAGTGTATATACATACATATTTTTCCTATCTTGTTCTGACAGGAAATGGCATGTTCTGTCTTGGCAATCCTGCTTTTTCTTAAACTAACTTGAGGTGAAGCTCCAAAAGGCCTTTTTTCCCTACATGTGTCGAGGCTTTCAAGCCAAGAGCCACAGCCTTCGCCATGTCTGATTGTCTCATAGAATGAGGGCTGAGGGTTGACCAACCAGGTTTCCCACAGAATATCTTGCTTAAGACCTGACTTGGACAGGTCTTTCAGTCCTTGCCGTCTTTTCCTACCTTGAAGCTGAAGGCCAGGAATGGCGTGTCATTGAAGGTTGTGTTTTTTGGAGTTTTGTTCTCATCTCACGTTAACATGCCGAATTGTCATAAATGCCGCATAAAGAATTGGATTGTTTTTGTGGACACATTGATTGAGACATGCAGCACCTACACCAATATATCACTATTCAATATACACATCTATCTATATATTCTTTTTATTATCGACGCACCACACACACATTCACAAAGATACATTTCGGATGAAACGGCTGCCCCCAGCAGGCCTCTTCCAGCAGGGGCTCTGTGACATCCCCATCTTCAGATCAGGACTGCGGTGTGGATCCTGACTTGGCAACTGCCAATTTTTTGGACCGACTAGGACTGCCCCGGAAAGGCAGTCAAGAAGTGCTATTGGCTTTGGGATTGGGATCCCATCGTGAAAATGATTTCAGCATGACCAAGAGTTGTTTCAGTAGATACCCTTAAATCATCGGGGTACTCAAAACCGACATGACACCGGGTAAGTTAAACATAAAGAACCTGCAGGGGAATACATATATGTATATATATAGAATACATATATATATATAGAATACATACATATATATATATATAGTCTTCAAGTTGTTCATTTTCAGGTCTTGTGTTCACTTACAGGGTATTAGTACTGCAGTGGATCGAGCAATCTGTTTAAAAACAACAACAATTACAAGAAACACTTCCTTGTGTGGTAAGTTTGGTCACATCAATAGAAAGAACATAGAGACAGATTTGTTCTGCTCTCTGAACGAATAACTTGAAAACCTAACAACTTTATCTTAGAATCTTAGATATCCTGAGTCCGTCTTCCGTAGATTCACTTCCGTGCAGTCTCTCCAATGGAATGTGACAAATTCTTTGAGTGTGACAAATTTCCTTGAGGTACTTGAAAACACCACAGGTCCGCGGGTCTTTGCACCACCGGTCCGCGGGTCTTTGCACCACCG